TAAAAGCATATCACAGATTAATACTTTGAAAAGGCAGTTGGGTGAAGAGTTTGAGATGAAAAATTTGAGTACTGTAAGAAGATACTGAGAATGGAGATTACTTGAAATAGAAGTGCTGGAAACTTTTCTTGTCTCAACAATCATATGTTGAGAAGATACTACAACGTTTCAATATGAGCAATGCAAAGCCCATAACTGTTCCACTTGGTACTCACTTCAAATTATTTGTAGACATGTCACGGAAGATAGATGAAGACATGGAGCATATGTCTAGTGTTCCACACTCGAGTGTTGTAGGTAGCATTATGTATGTTATAGTTTGTACTCGTCCTGATATTGCACATGCAATTAGTGTAGTGAGTACATACATAGCGTACCCTGGAAAATAACATTCGTAGGCAGTGAAATGAATTCTAAGGTACTTAAAAGGTACAGTAGTTATGGGTCTGATGTTTGACAAAGCTAAGATGAATGACTCAGCTATGGCCTATATGGATTCAGAATTTGCAGGGGATTTGAATCAGAGGAGATCTCTGACAGATTATCTGTTTACTCTATCTGAAAGTATTATCAGCTGGAAGGCAACGTTACAAGCTACAATAGTCTTGTCTACCACAGAGACTGAATATATGGCCTAACAGAGCAATAGAAGAGGCTATTTGGCTACAAGGTTTGGTGAGTGATCTTGGGTTAATACAGAAAAAGTTGACAGTGTTTTGTGACAATCAGAGTGTCATACATCTCACCAAGAACCAGATGTATCATGAGCAAACAAAGCATATCGATATTAAATATCACTTCATCCAAGACATTGTATCATAGAGTATCATAGTTGTGCATAAGGTATCCACACAAGAGAATCCCGCGGATATGATGATCAAGGCAATCTCAATTAGCAAGTTTAGGCATTGTGTAGACTTGATTGGAGTATGTAATACTCACTAGTGCCCTCGAACAGGCACTATGGAGATAGAACGATAAGAAGGTCATTTCCTTTGATGTTGAAGAGAATTCAAGCCAAATGAAAGATTTGTTGATATGGCTTAAATTCTGATAATTTTAATCATAAAGGTATTTTTGTAATTATCTTATGAATTAATATTATGTGTATTCTAGGGACCAAATAAAATCTTGAAGGCCTCTCTATATATAGATTTGCTAACGTATGGATGTTGTACTCTCTTTTGATCATAGTAGAATATTTTTCTTATCTTATCCATGGATGTAGACAAACTATCGAACCACATAAAATCATGTATTGTTTTTTTTTCTGTTTTTACTTTGTTTATGATTGTGCATACTTCAGGAATCAATTTTTCCAATAAATATAGTAGCGATTAACTAATTTGGATACTCAATACTAGAGAGTCCTTCTCGATTAGATCTTTTTACAATTATCTTACTAAAAATGATGTCACGGACATCAGTTTTTCTTTTTTGCAAATCTAGAAGGTTAATAATCTATCAAGAATTGCTTTCTTTACATGGAAAACAAGTAGATGGTGTATTCTTACTCTTGACAAGCTGATTAGGACAGGAAAATATCGGTGAATGGTTATTTTTTATGTAAAAGAAAAACGAAGTTGTGTAATCACACCCTTTTATAGTTTCTATTTGTGTATAAATTGTGGACCTTGGCTTAAGGGTTATGGTGCATCAGGTTAGTGTTGGCTAGTTCAATGAGAAAAGAGATTTGGGCAAGAAAAAGTATTAGTGAATGGAAGAAAAATCTCATTCCCCTTATTATTTTTTGAATGGGGTGGAAAGATAGAAACATGAAAACTTTGAGAGGGTAAGATGACTTTAATAGAGTTAGAGATAAATGGTTCTAGATCTCGGGTTTCTTGTTTATAGATCATCCTCTTTCTTCAATTGAGGATTTTGAAAACCTTATTAATATTATCATTTGACAAGTAAATATTTTTGTACATGAGTTGGCACTCTCTTGGTGCTTGTGAATGAATCATATCATACTTTTTATTTGTCAAAATATATATATATATATATATATATTTCATTGAAAAGGCCTCTTTCGATACTATCTGCTCCAAGTTTCGCATTGATCACTCTCCACCAAAGGCTGCTCCCACTCCCTCATGAATTCTAGTAGCGACTAATGTTTTCTTGAAATCAACAATCGATCTGAGCCCAAGACCACCACTTTAACACGAGCATTTAACCACATCCCAAACTACTAAGTGAAATCTCCTTTTCTCATTGGAATCACCACACAGGAGACAGTGCTAGATAGCTGCCAATTTTTTCACCACACTTATTGGAATGGTTTAAAGAAATAGCTAATAGATTGGTACATCCATACCAACCACTAGCATGTTGTTACATAATGCTACATGACCAATCTACCTCTTGATTTTCAGAGGCTATGCAGTATTCAAAAGGGGTCATGAATGGATGAAATTCTATCATCTGCTGCTATTAGTTGACAACTGTTAGAAAGTTGATAGTCAGAGAAATAGAAGCATTGCCGTAACAACAAAATAGAGGAAATAAACAAAATTTTCAATACCAAAGGAGAACAACAAAACATTTGAACTAACAAAAAGAAGCAACACTAACTTATTAAGTGATCATCATTTAGTCAAAAACTCTAATTTTTTATCATTATCTCTATTCTGAAACAAGGAGGTGTCAATCTATGTACAAAAAATTTATAATTCAATTAAAGTATCAATAAAGTTCCCTAAATCTTCCATTGAATAAAGAGGATCATCCAACGATAAAAAACCAGGAATTTGGAACCATCTATTTTTGAGTAAATCAAAACCGTCAACATCCTCAACCCTATCAAAAACCCTTTTGTCCCTCTCCTTCCACACAACCCAAAAGATGGTAAGTGGTATTAGTGCTCTTTTTCTCGCTCCTCCGATACTCTTCCATGCCCAAATTTCATCTCTCACTGAACTTATAACCACTGAACTTATGCCTAATAGACTATAAACTGTAGTCCATAGCTTATAGACCATACGACACCAAAGTAGAACATGGTTGCAAGCCTCCTCCGTCCTCTTGCAAGGATAACAGATGTTCACCAACATTTTACCCGGTCTCCTTAACTTGCTAATTGTCAAAATACACTTTCTGTTGGCTTCTCATGTAAAGAACAGTACATGAGGTGGAGCTCTTGCATCCAAATCTGTCTAAATGGAGGAGTAAAACTATTACCATCATATTTGACCAGCTGCTTATAGAAGGATTTAACTGTGAAAGATCCACTCGTTGTAAGACGCCACAAGGGAATGTCATCACTCCCATCCAAAGTCACAAAGGATAGAGTGCTTAGTAGCTTCCCATATTCACCAATCTCTCAGTCATCATGTTTCTTAGCACCAAAGTCTGTCATTCTTTCTCCCCTCCTCTAACCTCCACAAATGGGCCAGGGATCTTGATTTCTTTCTGTTTGGTAATGGTGTAAATCTAAGGATACTGCTCTCTAAGAGTACCATGCTGCAAACATTGGTCTTCCCAAAGTCTGATCCTATCTTCCTCACCAACCTTCCACCTATGTTCACCAGGAAATTATTTATGCCTAATACAATCTTTTTCCTTAGGCTTTTCCCATGTGGCCTCGAAACTGCTCTAGTGAACTAACCTCTCTCATTCATGCCATTTTTTGCTACTATCGTTCTTCTCCAAAGGGCGTCTTCCTCGGTCAAAAACCTCAACAACCATTTATATCAATATACCTTATATTTTTTATTTCAAAAAAAATTTAAACAATAGTATGCAAAACAGAGGCACGACCACTATAGTTCCTTACTTAACCCATACAAAAAATTATTATTTAAAAATTGCTTGCACCTCATATACATTCTGAATCAAACAAGATTCTTTCTACAGAAGGTAATGATTTCACAGCAAGGAGAGCATTTCAGCATCAGTTGGAAACAAGTTCAAAAAGAGAGAACAAGTAATCTCAAATAATTAAACACTATTATGTTACCTATTTTCTGAACAAGGTTGCGGAAGAATTCCAACTACAACTTGATAGTCAGAAGATGAAAATCCAGCTGCTTCTGTATGATGGAACATAACAAGGGCATTAAATAGTATTAAAGTATATAACTATAAGCCGGTGGTTACTAAATATGACTTACATTAGCTTTTGGGGGAAAGAGAAGAAAAAATGGGAGAAAACAAGTACCTATAGAAGTCTTTAAAGTTAAAAGGGTTTTAGCAAGAAACTATTGCTGGCCTAAGTTTTTTCTTTTTTTCCAATATTTAATATCTTTTAGTTTGTACATTGACTACCATCATAAAGATGGGAAATAGCACAGAGAACAATGATGTATGAGAACATCCTGACCATATGAAATAAAGTGCTCCTTGTGCATTCCATCAGAAAACAAAGACTCCCCAACCATCTGAAACTTTAGGATAGTAAATAGGAAAAGAGTAGCTGAGCCATTCATTTTATTAAGGAAAAAATAAAATTACCATTTAGTGAACTTGCAGGAATATTATAGGGCAACTGCAGAAGTTTCTCATTTTCAGCATCGTACTTCAGAACAGACGTCAACCCATACTCATCTCCGATGTACCTGGGTACAATGATGGACTAACACTTTTACATGGTACTCTGTAAGAAACATTTTCATGCTTAGCCTAATGGAAAATGATGTAAGAAATTAGGAAGCAAATCATACATGAAGTGTGAACCACGTATTACAGAGAAAGCAGTTATGTTGGAGTGCCATTGTAAACAACAAGCCAGACACCTTTTCTCCAGATTCCAGACCTGCCAAATTTCATAAACTATATTCAGTGCCAAAAATTTAATACTTTAACACCTAACCCTCTAGCAAAAGAACAAGAGAATCTAGCTGATATTAGGTATGACCTGCCTAGATCCAATCAATCAAAAAAGTTCCCGAGACACTATGTTGCTCCCCTAGCAAAAAGTTACAAAAACAGTAAAATACAAAAAGAATGAGAAATAAAAAGAATAACTTATTAAGATTCCACTAATTGAATCGTTTAAGAACCACGTCATGTTTGTCTCTCTTTTGGATTTTCAGTAGTGCTAAAATGGATATGAGACATAACTGCCCAAAGAGAAAGAATTAATACCTCTATATAATTTTCATTTGAGATGCTGACTAGAAAACCCTGGTTTTGAAGAAACTGCCACAAAATAACATGCGTTAATCTACCATTTAACATGTTTAGCCTCATTTTCCAAGTAAGGAAGATAAAAAAATTATAGCACATTTTTCACTGTATAAGACAGGAATGTATCAGGACTGTAATAATTATTACATAACAGCAACATATTACATCATTTGGGAGGCTGAAATAAGATTATGTTGCTGTTGTGATTATTGAAAAAGTTGTAATCCTGATTCTTGGATCAAAGATTATAAATTACAGGCCTGGCTACAATCAATAATTTTACTTTTTAAGACTGTTGACCAATTTAAGTTTCACTTAATTGATCAATTTTTTAAATTCTTTACATGTGAGTATATTTAAAATTTTATAGTTATTATATTTGATATTTGGAAATTTGGAAATTTTTCAATTAATTGAAGAATTTTTTAATTCTTTAAAATTGAATGTAAAGAAAAATTCTAATATACTATACATAATTTTGCTAATTAAAATAGTTACTTTAAACTTTGTTAATTCATCATGTGGTAATATTTCATGTGATAATATTTATAGTTTATTTATATATATAAAAATATTTATATATATATATATAAAATAACCATGAGCAACTATGATATTATAAGTTTCTTCCTCTTGACCGAATCTGTAACCTTCATTAGCAGATTCATTTTCTGTGGTTTCCCTTATCAAACTAGAAGTTACCAAGGAACCATACATAGCAGTGACCTCCTAAATTGCATTGATTTATCTTAAAAATTTCATTTCAATTGGAATTTGGTTATTCACCATGTATGAGGATCCCCACTAAGCATCCATAGCTGATATTTATATATAAATCCAATCAATAGAGTGACACGAGTAAAAAGGGGCAACTCATAGAAATCAAATTTAAAAAATCTAATTTTATCTTTTTAAGACTAGAAATTGCGGCAACATGGATGTTGGAATCAAATTAGCATTCTAGAGTTTAAGAGGATTTTCTACTTCAAGAAATTAATTAATTAAACAGAGTTAGAACCATAAAAGAGGAAAGAAACCTAAAGGAGGAAGAATTCTTATTTCTAACTAAATTCTCATCCTTAATTTTCTCATGCATAATGTTGGATTTCTACTACAATTGGGAAGCTTTTTAGATCATTTTCAACTCTATTTCTAGAATAAGAATTAATTAAATATTAACAATCAAAATCAAATCCAAGACTACAAGAGGAATTCAGAATAATTAGAGTTATTTTAGGATTTAGTTTTTAAATTCAAGTAGAACTAGTGAGGCTTATGCCTATATAAAGGCTTTACTCCATAGGTTGTAGACATCGAAGTCTATGGTCAATAAAATTAAACTGTTAGTTTTGGTTAGCCATTAGCTAAGTTGCTCTTTATGGAGGTTTCTTCAATTTTCTTGTTAACTGAGGAATTGATATATACTTATTAAGAAAACTTATAACGTTTTCATCAATTTCTTTTCTTGAATTGATTTTAACTTATCAAGATATTTATTGTGACATTCTAATCAATTCACTTATCGCAATTACTTTATTTCTCATTTACAGTCTAATTGTGGTAGGGAAGATTTGTTTAGAAATTAAGTTTTTGTGCTAAATTGTATGTTAAAGTTTTTTATCACATTGGTTGATGTTGGGTTCCGCATTACAGAGGTCTTCTAGTCATTTATAGTTTAGTACAATTTTATTCTAATATATAACTTTAGTAAAGAAGTTGTAATAAGTTACTACTGATTCCATATCAGAGATCATATAGTAAACGCAATTTCATGATAGCACTAGTCTATTCTTGTTAAGTAGCCATTGTATTCCAAACTTCATTCCATTTAGTGATAAAGCATTTTGTTACTGTCACCATATGTATGTAGTTTCTAATAGATAATTTCATCTTGGGAAGTTTCAGTGTTGAATCTATAACAATCAATCTCAAATAATCTGAAAATATCAGAAAGGACAGAACATTAGCAGCAAAAGAAAATTATGCTATTTATTTCAAAAAAAAGAAAATTATGCTATATCAACAAACCTCTAGGTTTTTATAAGCCAGTTGCTTTGAAGATATGAGAATCCCTTCGATACCATCACCACCAATTACCTTAATCCTGCCATCCCTGCAATTGATGGGAAGAAAAGTAACTTACACCAGACCGTGATGTATACACTTTATTTCTCTGATTTATAGTTTCTAATACATATTGCAATCACTGCACTGAAGCCCCAATAAAATGACAAGGAAAATCTAATGATGTTTATTATTCGTAGCAGTGTTATTTGCCAAGGATGGATATTTCATCAAATGGAAAGCCACTCAGCAGGCTGAGAACTGCAGCACTACCTTTATTCATGAATGCTAGGATCTAATGTCTATTCCATGTAATATGCTTGCAGAAGGTGCCTAAACTACTGTGTAAAATTGTTAAATTTTCTTGCCAGAAATGAAAATAAAATTGACAGATGAAACTGATCCACAGAAGCTGAACATATAAGGAATCAACTGAATCTTTAGAAAATACGGAAGAACAATACACAGGCGCACAACACATTCAAGCAAGCAACATAAAGGAACAATAACTTCGTGTTAACACCTAACCTCCTCCTCTCTTACTGAAAAATTTGTTCCGTATATAACTACTAAAGGACCCAGGCCAGCAATAAACATTTGGTAATTATCTTAATATATCCAACATTAGCATTTAATCTCAACTCACAAGCTACCAAACCAAGCTAACAAAAAATTACAATATATTGCTCTGAAAACAAAAAAAAATCAACTCACAATGTACCAATGGCCAGGAGTCGCTGAATAGGATCAAAAGCAAGAATAGATGCTGTAGATGGGATACCATAGTGGATTACGATTCGTGGGTCCAAATCAACTGGCTTCAAATCTCCCTGCTGCACAGTGTGCTGAGAACAAGAAAATAACAAAGCACACCTCTCATCAGAAGAAAAAGAATGAAGGAAAACAAAACAAAACAAAACAAATGAAGCAAAAAAAATGTATCCATTGACGAAAAGAAGAAAACATTGGAGTTGGAAGACATGCAATTAAGACAAATGGTGTGCTTGGTCAATCTTAGTACACAATTTCAGGTGCACTGATTGTCTATTTGACTTAGTTTTCCTAATTTTCTCTGCTCTCTTTCCTTCTTACTTCAAGGACTCCAAGTTTAAACGGCAACGAATATAATACTTTTGTTAAGTTAACACGCAGGTTGCATATAATCATTACGTACGACCAAAAAAAAGCAGAGAGAAAACATACGAAAAAACACTAACTTTTTTTTAGTATGGACTGCACTGATTTTTCATTGGAAGATAATCCGGTCGATAAACAATCTAGGTTATCATCAGCATCAAAAGAAATGCAGATTGCAGGCGATTCACGTTGAAACTAAAGGAGAAGAAACCTTGAATAAATTGAAAAGACATGGAAGAGATGATTGATGATTATGCAATCAAGTTAAAATACCTGATAATGATGAGCGGCTTTTTGTAAGAATCGCTTCATCTGAAAGTCGACGGATAGCGAAATTCCTTTTCTTTTTGTCGGAGTTAGGAGTTTCTACTCTGTGTTTCAATGATGGCATCGATCATTTTTGAGGAACCTGGACCAGGTCTTCTTGGTCAAAAGTCAAATAATATTTTTCAAAAAAAAAAAATTACGTTAACGGCCAAAAAAACAAAAACAAAAACCTTGTTAAATAATGGGCATAAATCCCATGTGAATACAATATATTAAATAAAAAATTTTATTATAATATTATAATTTAAAATTTGATTTAAAGTAAATATTTATTCATTATTACTTTTTCATAAAATTAAAATTTAAGCTAAGGAGATTCAATGGTACATTAAATTTATAAATCGTAATTAACTTTTTTAAATAATTAACATTCAGAAATTAAATTGAACTTGGTACATTTGAATCAAATGTCACCTTAAGGAGACAATATGACCCCAACCAACTTTCTCTAATTTTCATGTGACTTTCCTTTACTCTTGCCAATTTTCTTTCTCATTTTTTTTTCCATTTCTACATTCTCTCCTTTACCAAAACTTGGGAAAAACGTGATAAGAATTAACATGTATACTAGATGGCTTTCTCAATGACTTCATTCAGTCCAAATGAGTTTTCTTACACATTGTTTTCATAATACACTAAACTTAATTATCTAAATATATATTTTTATTGAAGTAAACATTTGATAATAATACTTACTTATTTCTTATTTAATAAATTAAAATTTTTTTTAAAATAAAAATAAAAAAGTAAAGAAATAAAAAAAAAATTATTAAATTTAATCGGATGAGTCTCCCATAATGAAATCCAACCAGGTTAGGATAACCCATTTAATTTTTAAAATTAAATTGTTTAATTACTACATACAAGAAAAGTTATCTATTTAATAATTTATAAAAAAAACATAAAAAATAATATATAGAGAAAAAACTTACTCTCTCTCTCAAAAAAATCTGTTTCTATGAAGAAGAATAATAAAGGATTTTTTGGTTGTTTTTTTCTTCAAAAGTTTAGATTTCTACATGAGGTATTTATGATGTGAAAATATACAAACTGTAGCGCCCGGGAAATTGAAGAAGAAGAGAGAAGAAGAAAAAAAAAAAAAAGGTGCGCGCCACGTCAGCAGCCACGTTAGCAGACCCAGTCAGCAGTCCTGGCCAACCAAGACCTGCCACGTGGCAAAACCACGTCGACCGGGGACGGGCCACGTTGGCGATCCGCGTGCGCGCGATCGGACGGCCCATATCAATCGCGCGCACGGAAGGCCCAGATTTAATCGCACGGACGGCCCAGATTTAATCAAAAACGGACGGCCCAGATTAAATCAAAATGGACGGCTGAGATCAAAAGGAAAAAGGGTATAAATAAGACCCCCACACCAGACCCCAAACCCTAGCCGCCTGCCACCCGCCGCCGCACCGGAGGGATTTCCGACTGCCAATCGAGGTAAATTTCATACCCCGACTCGTTTTTCCACGCTGATTTCCCAGTGGCCAAATCGGAGCCAAAATCCCGGCCAAACGGCCGGAAAACACGGCCGAAACCCAGCGGCGCTGCCGCGCCCCTCTCGGTTTTTGCCTCCGACGAGGTCCTTCCCGACCTCCGTTCGATGCAATTTTTATACCACCGTGATCACCATTCTTTTCTCTACAGGTTGACCGAAGCCGAATCACCAAAACATGAACCTCGCCGGAGAGCCGCCGCACCCGAGAGCACCGCCGCCGGTAAGCTTCGGTTTTCCGTAAATTTTCGGCCCCCCGAGGGTCGTAGGGTTGTTTTATCGCAGGAACCAATGCGAGTGTGGCCGAATTCTGCCGGAAACGGCCGAAAACAGCCAACCCGAGGCGACTCGCCGCTGCCAGCGGCGGCGCCGTCGCCGGAGCACGGCGGAGCCGCCGTGCCGGAGTTGCGATTTGGTCCGAAAGGGGCCCTGGGCCTAATTTGGATTTTTTTGGAACACGTGCAGGTACTGTTAGTGTGTTTCAGTTCCCCGGGAAAAATTCAGGGAAAATTAGGGACGGCCTGCAGGCGCACTGTGAATCGTATTCGGATCCCGAAAACAAGTAAGGACCCCTCACCCTATTTCCTATCACGGTATTAAAGTTCAAAATGATAAAACGGTATTTTTTGAATTAACGAATGTGTGAAATTGCTTAAGGTGGCTAATGGAGCCCGAGTCTAGTGTGATTGGTGATTTACTGTTATTTAGCCTGTTTACAGCTTTAAATGCAAAATGAGGTTTGATGTGTTCATTTTACAGATTTGTGTGCATATACTACATTTTTATTAATCATGGGTTGAATGACTGAAAAACAGATTTATGTATGTTGTCTGTTTGGCATGAATTACTGTTTTGCTTGTTTGTATGTGAATTGATGATGCTGACTGAGGAAAAAGAAAATGAAAGATTGTGTAGACTGATAATTGTATTATGGGGGTCAGCCTGACTAGATATCCTGGGAGATGGTGGACGGACCGGGTCCGTAGGGAACCCTACCGGGATTGTGGTCTCACATGCCGGACGGGGTATGGAGATCTTATGGTTTTGGCGCCCATACCGGACGGGGTATGGGGACGGCCCGTTTCACCCTCATACCGGACGGGGTATTGAGGTTTATGGTTTTGGCGCCCATACCGGACGGGGTATGGGGACGGCCCGTTTCACCCTCATACCGGACGGGGTATTGAGGTTCATGGTTTTGGCGCCCATACCGGACGGGGTATGGGGACGGCCCTGGAAACTGATTATGAATGTTAAAGGTTAACGGGTAGCGGGACCCCTATGGACCCCCACGGATACTAGTATGCTGGTAAATGAGAAAAAGATATGTTGTACAATGATTGAAATTTCAAGGGGCGTGATAAGTGTTATGTTTTACAGCTTATATTATTCAATGATTATGATAATGTTATTGTTTTTCTTATATTGTTTTCATAAATTCCACCGAGGTAAGTGGAGGGTAAAGGTTTATCATAATAAAAAGGATTTGTTGTAAATTATGCTCCATTGGTCTTTTTGTGTTTTTCTACCCACCTTTATCTCCGTGACGGTGAGATATCGTGATGTTCTTACTGGGCTAGTGTAGCTCACTCCTTATTTAACCATTTCAGATCAGGAAGACATGGTTCCCGAGCCCGTTCCGCAGGAGGACGACGAAGGGGATACCTAGAGACTCTGTAGTCATACTCATAGTTTTATTTTCGAGTTTTCTTTCTTAGTTAGTTTAACCTTTTATATTTTAAGTACGTTTTTGGGTTTTTCGTGTAAGGGATGTTAACTGAAATTTTGATCTCGCTTCCGCATTCGATATATTTAAATACTCATTTCATTTTAATATTTCCGGGGCCGTTACAAATTGAATTGTTGTTTTACAATCATATCGTGTTATTGTATTAATGTTTAATTTGATTCAAACATTAATTAAAATTAAACAAGGTCATAAATGAAGAGTCGAATTACTTGAATTTTGTTCCAACCCTCTTCATCACCACATTATTTTGTCCTTAATCTCCATGTAACCATCATAATTAGCGTCCTACCAAATTCCTTAATCCAATTTTGTTTGTTAATTTAACCTCTCACGTACTTGTCATTACCCACAAATTTTTCGTTCTTAATTAGACTTTAAACCAATAATTAATTTAATTATTAATATTGTAGCGCCCGGAAAGGGGCCGAAAAAAAAAAAGCCACGTCAGCAGGCCCGGTCAGCAGTCCCGGCCAACCGGGACCTGCCACGTGGCAAGACCACGTCGTTCCGGAACGGGCCACGTTGGCGATCCGCGTAGGCGCGATCGGACGGCCCAGATCAAGTGTGCGATCGGACGGCCCAGATGCAATCGCACGGACGGCCCAGATTCAATCAAAAACGGACGGCCCAGATTAAAACAAAATGGACGGCTGAGATCAAAAGGCAAAGGGTTATAAATAGAACCCCCACACCAGACCACAAACCCTAGCCGCCTGCCGCTCGCCGGAGAAGACGAACCAGAAGCCGGCCACCGCCACCCGCCGCCGCACCGGAGAAATTTCCGACCGCCGATCAAGGTAAATTTCGTACCCCGACTCGTTTTTCCACGCTAATTTCCCCAGTGGCCAAATCAGAGCCAAAATCCCGGTCAAACGGCCGAAAAACACGGCCGAAAGCCAGCGGCGCCGCCGCGCCCCTTCTCGGTTTTTGCCTCCGATGAGGCCCTTCCCGGCCTCCGTTTAATGCAATTTTTATATCACCGTGATCACCATTCTTTTCTCTACCGGTTGATCGGAGCCGAATCACCTAAACACGAACTTCATCGGAAAGCCGCCGCACCCGAGAGCACCGCCGCCGGTAAGCTTCGGTTTTCCGTAAATTTCGGCCCCCCGAGGGCCGTAGGGTTGTTTTATCGCAGGAACCAATGCGAGTGTGGCCGAATTCGGCTGGAAACGGCCAACCCGAGGCGAACCGCCGCCGCAAGCGGCGGCGCCGTCGCCGGAGCACGGCGGAGCCGCCGTGCCAGAGTTGCGATATTGGCCGAAAGGGGCCCTAGGCCTAATTTGAGATTTTTTGGAACACGTGCAGGTACCTATAGTGCGTTTCAGTTCCCCGGAAAAAATTCAGAGAAAATTAGGGACAGCCTGCAAGCGCACTGTGAAACCGTGTTCGGACCCCGAAACGAGTAAGGACCCCTCACCCTATTTCCTATCACGGTTTTAAAGTTCAATAAATAATAAAACGGTATTTCATGAATCAACGAATGTGTGAAATTGCTTAAGGTCGCTAATGGAGCCCGAGTCTAGTGTGTTTGTCGGTTAACTGTTATTTGGCCTATTTTACAGTTCTAAATGCAGCATGAGGTTCGATGTTTTCATTTTATAGTTTCGTGTGCATATTTTACTGTTTTATTGATTATGGATTGAATGACCGGGATATTGATGCTGTATGTTGTCTGTTTGGCATAAATTATCGTTTTGCTTGTTTGTATGTGATTGATAATGCTGACTGAGGGAAAAGGAGAATGAAAGATTATGTAAATGGGAATTGTATAATGTGGTCAGCCTGACTAGATATCCTGGGAGATGGTGGACGGACCGGGTCT